TGAAATGACTTTGGCAAATGATTGGTATATAGGAAATTGATGAGAATGAAGTAAAAGAAAAAAATTTTAAAATAAAACATTAGGAGTTTGTTATACACACTTTATATTTGATCAAAACAAATTACTATACATTTAGCTAATTTGAAGCAAACTAAAAAGTATAATAAAAGCATTATTCATTGTCACCATTATTTATTTTATAATAAGAATAAGATTTTTTTCAGTCGTAATGCTAATTATAATGAATATTCATATACAATTATAGGTAAAAATATTCAAGTTCCTTGTATAGTACAAAAAAAATGTGATACTTTACAAGAATATCATCCTCTTGTAATTTCAACACAGCAGAGTAAACATATATGATATATATGTATAACTTATTATAAAAAAAAAGGCAGACACATTTATCAACATATTGGAAAGGATGTACATAAAGATCCAAATTATAATAATTTGTCACATCACAAAAATGATGTCAAAGAAGCATTAGAAGCAATTAGGCATTGGATTCTTAATGTTGCTAGTACTTCTAATAAATTGAAATAGCAAAAAAAGGTTTTATCATCTTTAATTCCTACTTTATATATTATTAATTCACAATTTTTCAAAAAATATCAAATATTATATCAGAATCCTTAGAACAACAATATACAAAACAATAAAATCAAAATATCTTCTCTTTTTATGATTTTTATTATTCTTGCTTTAGCAAAATTTGATTACAATCTATATAAAAGATTAAATCCAAAAATTCTTATATCAAAACATTTTTTTGAATTTGAAGAAGCATTAGCATATTCAACAATACTTGCAAGATATAAATTAAAAATTAATAAAAAATTACTTAAATTACCTACTTCTATAGAAGAATACCATAATGTATTTCCTTTATATTAGTATAATTTTATGAAGAACTTTTAAAAACTTTACATAAGACAAAAAAAAATATATAGATAAAAGAAGAAAGCATTTTAAACAGTAGTTAAAATCTTTAAATTATGAAAAAATTTCTAACAAATCACATTTTTTGTTTCAATAATATTAAATATTGTGTTTAAAATATGAAAAATCTAGTTACCTTAAATAATGGCAAGTCTTTATTGTAAACCAAAACTTTTATCATCTTTGTAAAATATTTTAGAAATAGTTAATATTACTAGTCATACTCAAAGATATGAATGTAATTTAAAAAAGATTCATGCACTTTTAGTAGATCCAACTGATCAAATAATATATGAAAAAAATATTTGGAATCTTAGTATTATAGATATATGGATTTTAAGGTATCTACATTTGGCTATAGAAATATTTTTGATGCCACTAGAGGGAATTCGTATGCTACTTTATATATGTTATTCTAATATCAAATGCCTTAATCACTTAATATGTTTAAGGAACAAGAAATAGCATAAAATTAGCAACAATAACTTTTTGGACAAAACTCTTTTTCACAATAAACATTCCATACTTTTAATTCAGTTTTTGAAAAATTACTCACATTTGATGAAAATACTTTTATATATTATACAGATTTTAATGAATATGATATACATAATCAATTATGACATTTTTTTAAAATTAGTTATGATTTTTCACTACCAAATATTGTTATTCTTAATGCTGAAGATTCACCATCAAATGATTTTGTTGTACATGAATGTTTAAAAATGTATTTAAATAAAATTGTTATAGAAGATAATAAATATATTAATATTACTGCAAATAAAACAATTTTCAGAAGAAGTATTAGTTATTGTAAAAAAAATGAAAAAACTAAAATAATTCTTAAACAATGGCACATAAATAAAGACATAATGTTTGCATTAATTACAATTTTTTCAGGTTATGGAATTTTCAATATGGTAGGAATATTAGGTGTACAATTTCTAGATAAGTTAAAAAAAAGCATAGATTTTAGAGCAACTTCAAAAGTATTAGAATTAATTTGGGTTGCTATTAGTATAGTGATCTATTTATATATAAAAAAGAAAGAACAGACATTAAATAATATTTTAAAAGAAAATATAATTGTAAAAATTTGGTATTTGTAATTTTCAGTGGACTAGTTATTGAAAAGCATATTGGTTTAAAATTCAGTGAGGTATATTTGATTTACAACATAAAAGTTTAAAATCTTTTTTTTCATTATTTCCCATTTTGAATAAATCAAATTATGCTAGGTCTATAACTTACCATCTTTATTATATAGAAAATGATTTTTAGCTTCGTGTAATACTTCATATAGTACTATATATTAACTTAATAAGTCCTAGACATTTTTCACCTATGATGAAACATTAGAAACATTTGGAGTCAAATTTGTAAAACAAAATATAACAAAAATTTCAGGAGATGATAATGAATTAAATTTAAGAATTAGAGCTAATCAACTAGAAAAAGAACATACTGATATACTGATTTATGATTATATTAGTGATTCTGTTCAAAGTTCTCAATTACATAATGTTCAATTTTAAAAAGAAAAATCTGAGAGCTTGCTTATTTATTACTTGATGCCTTTAAATCTTCAAATCTATTCAGACACCCAATATTTGAATTCTGTAGCAATTAAATCATGAAAAAATTAATTAATTAGTTATTGTATATGATATTGAAATTTAAAGATTATAAGCAATAATTAACCAAAAAATTCTTTTAACAGAAAATTATATAACTGTTGGAAGAAGAGCAAGGAATATAATATATGTTACAATTGCTGAAATTACTAAAATAAGAAAAGACAAAAAAGTGAAAAAAAGAGAAAAAAGAGAAGAAGAAAAAGAAAGAAAAAGACCAAGAAAAAGATCAAGGGAAAAATTAAGAGGAAGATTAAGAGGAAGACCAAGGGAAAGAGGAAAGAGTCTATTATCTATCAATGAAGAGAAAGAAATAACTTAATAACTATACAGTCAACTCTTTCTACAACGAATTTTGATATAACGAATTTTACAATACAACGGATTTTCATTGTCGGACAGA